ATCAGAAGTAAATAGAATGACAAAATCTCAGTGACAAATTTCTAGGTTTTTTTTCAAAATTTTAGATAATTAGAAGAAAAAAATATATATTAATTTGTTAATCTAAATCAATTATTAAATCGTGAAAAAGGTAGCATAATTAATGTTTGTTCCAGTAAAGACGTTTATAGTTTTTAAATTGGTACAAAGTTCGTAGCAAAACTCCGAAACGTGCCCGTCACCAATAAACGTAAAATGAATTATTCGTGTTGTATGCTACAGGTAAGTTTAAAAAAGTAAGAAAAAAAGATCATAGAGAGTTATTATATGATTCGTTTTAGTTAAAATAACGACTTCACTCGTTTATCTTCAACAATTTCCGTCAAATGATAATGTACTCAATTGTTCGTTACATGTAGCGATTGTCTCAGTAATTATGCGCATCGTCGCCACGAAGCATCTCAAGTACTTCATAATCTCTTTCCAGGTGGCTTGTTTTAACTCATTAGAAGTCAAGAACAGCCACCAGAGCATAGGCTATGAGACTTAGCGTTTATCGCAACGCAACGCAGCTCACATACGAACTCTTGAATGCTAATTTTTGAAATCACAGGTTAACAGCACTGAAAAAACAAAACATTTTATTTCGTCTGATATTTATTAATGCGAATTAAATACAGTACTTTGCTTTATAATTTGAATGTCTAGCCATACTTTTATTCTTTACATAAAATAAACTTTTTAAGATGTTACAGACTAGTCCATAGGTGATTTTCAAAGTCGTTTAATACGTAAATCAACAGACATTAAAAGATCAGAATTATGATTTATTTATTAAAATGTCTGAAATTTATTTTTCTTGCTTGTTACAAATAGTTTACGAGTTAAGACGTGGTAAACAGAAGCATAATTCGAGCTTAGAAAAATGTCTTCTCATACTTTATTCTATTTCAGAATTACACTTGTCATACGGTGAGTAATTTTGAGTTTTGAGAATTATCTGCGAGACCATCTTAATGCAGTTAATTATAGCTGTAATTTATGTTTGAATGGTAACCTAAAGGAGGCCTCGAGATGTAAGTCCAGGTTAGAGAATTGTGCACAGAAGGTAGAAGGGACGGTCATTTGGTAAGGAAGAGCGAAGGGGCAGACCAGCGGTTCTCGTTCGCTTGTCTCGGTCACTTGTATCCAACCGTCTCCCGGAGCCAGTCTGTGTGTAGAGATGACAGTTGCCATGCAGGCCATCGATCTTCGCTGATCAATAACGGACTGTGACAGGACCGTACATACCGGACCTTGTATCGGGTCTGCCTGGGAGAAAACCAGTCACATAGTCGGTGTTAGGCCTATTTTCGTCACATCTACAATAGACCACCCGACAGCTGGGAAGAAGCTGGGACCGAGGGGCGCTCTCTCCCCTTCTTTTCATAAAATTTCGCATTAGAAACCTCAAAATGTTGGATTCTCTGAATCAGCACTGCTCTACTCCACTAATTAAGATTACTGACGTCATCTAGCAATCGAATGATTTACTCTAAAGGAATTCGGGGATGCAGTTCCTTTAAAATAAATTGATTTGTTAAGCAAAATTCCACGCTAAATGTGGACGATGAGTCTAGGCTAAACATTTGTTAGTGGCATCCCATTTTTTATAGGCCTATTTTCTTGACTTATACTGATTTAAATGAAAAACATTTGTAATTAATTAATGACTGGATCACTCATTAAACTTTAATTATAGAGTTGTAAATAGTTGGGATGGTTATTAAGTAATTATAATTGTTAGAAAAAGCGACTTTCTGCATTCATTTAAACCTCGTATAAATCTATTTTAGTAGGTTTTATAAATTTTATTAAGTATACATCAATTAATTTAATTAAAACAGGAATTTATCTTAAGTCAGAATCAGATTTAAGCGATTTTTTTAAAATTAAAAATGAAGAAAAGTTGGTAGGAAACTAGGCCTATTAACGAGTATTGCCTTGTATTGGCCTCTTCGGTTATCATAAATCTTAAAATATGCTCCTTTCTTAACTTAAATATTTCATTATCTTTATTAAGGAAGTTTGGATCCTCAGTTTATATTCTAATGAAGTAAAAAAATATAAGAAAATATATAAAATGTAGCAAAGTTCTTTCTTCTGTATGATTTTCTCAGAAACTGAAGATGTATTATCAAGTTTACGGATTAAAAAAGAATGGGATAATTTACTAGAAGAATAATTTCTACGAAAATATACAGTAAATATTTAGAAAAGCTTCTGAATTAAGTACGAATCTAACAAATTAAACATTTCTTATGCAAAGAAATTAGTTTCAAATTTAGCTTTTCTAGCCCATATCGACAAACTCAGGCCTTGTAACTTAAACTGAGATTAATATCTCATCAGTTTTGTGTTCCAATTATGTATAACGGCACATCACGTTCTGCCACAATTAGTGTCTAGTAACATTACTTAGCTAACAATCTTTCCATTAATCACTCAATCTTCTATATTAATAACTCGAATAAAGGTTTAAGAGATTACAAATAGCAGGTGTCCCATGAAGAAAGAATGGTCCCTTTCTTTCCTGAAAGCTAGCTAATTTCATACAATGTCTTAATTAGCGACGAGCAAAGTTAATAATTTATCTCATATATTACGATAAGCAAGTTAACAACAGAAAATCGCCTAGCTTTATATTATTTATAGAAAAATTAAATAGCCGACTTTAGCTGAACAATATGGATTCTATGATATAAATTCGAACATGTAGATTTCTTATCAAGGTAAGATTTTCAACCGTTTCTTTGAAAACTCTGTAGAATCTCTGATTCACAAGATTCAATTAAACAATATATCAAACTTAAATACTTTTAATTTATAGATTTCTGCAGACCAGTTAACTGTATAGCATCTGTATATAGAAGTTCTTTATAACATCAAGTAAATCGAGATTTCTTCAATATTATCTGAAAACTTTTGCTCTATTATGAATCTATATGGTATCTACACGTATATTGATAATTAAATCAACAATAAAACATTTTAAAATTAATTCTTATCAATAACTTTGATAAGAATTATGAAGTATAATGCATAAATTCATAGGCAGAAATCTACAAATTACAAATTTTAAATAATATGACTTATATCAACACTATTATCTCATTATTATTATGTAAATTATATTTATGAATTAATTCGATATGTTATATTGTTAATTTTTATTTATTATTTTCGGTTTTTAGAATATAATTTGAACATGCTCTTATGAATTACAATTAGTATATAAGAAACAACACAGGGTAAAAATACTTCGGACCAATTGTAGATAAGTTTAGGCCAACTATTCGATTAAACAGAAATACACAAATGGTTATTTTAACTTGCATAATTAAGTTTAAAAATTTTAAACAGAATTTAAGATTATCCCGAAAATAAATCAAATTTTTCCATTCAAAACTGGTCTCAAATAAACCATTTGGGTTATTTGAATTTAAAATTAGAAATTGACTCATATAATTACAGATTCATAAAAAATTATTTTAAAAATGTTTAGGCCTTTTAATGACGAGATATAAATAAATTTAAATAGCTTTTTTATTCAACAGGCTCTCCTATAACAATATATATACAATGAACACTTATGAATTTATTATAGAAAAAGTTCTACGGATATCAACACTGGTTTAAACGTATTTAACATTATTTTATAAACAGAAATTCTACCGCAATTTAAAATAATAATAANTAATTAACATCAAGTGTAACAAACGGAAATTGCTACGTATATATTCCAAAATTTGAAATTAAGCCTAATTTTTATATTATGAAATTGAAAGATTATCTATCATTTTTAAGTTATTGCATTTAAATCTCATATATCATAACATTAAAATGACTTTTATATCTTCCCATCACGCTATATATTTAAGTATTCAGAATATTGTTGAATTTATAAATTTATTATCATTCATTGCTTAATTTCAACACCTTTTTTGATAAAGTCGTACGATTAGTTAAGTATAATATTTTTTAAAATTTTATAACAGTTTAGTAATATTGTAGATTTATAAAAATTACTTTAAAATTCACTCGGAATAGATCAATACACTGACCGTAGAATGTTTATAGACTGTTGAGAATTTTTAAAATTATTACTTGTATTAAAGAGTAGAGAAAATAATTTCTAAAAGTTTGTACGTATGTTTAGCTTAGGCCTACTTAGTCTTTTAGGCCTAACTTCTAGAGTTTAATATACTATATCATTTCTCGCGAAGAGTGTAAGAATGGAAAATTATAGAACTGGAAAATAGTTTGAATGTAATAAAGAAATTTAATGGTTCTGTAATATCATGTTCCATCCATTCTGGAGAAGAGTAAGTTGGACGAGGACAAACGGGCCCATAGGATGTCTCTTAATGACACAGCTCAAGCGATAAAAGACAGAGAGGGAAAAACGCACCCTCTCCCACCCATCTGCCGTTAAAATTCATCAACGTGAGCAACTTAGTGGTAACGCTGTCACGACACAGACGGGCAGCGTCACGCAAATCGTCACGCAAACGTCATCGATCGTCACGTAGCACATCCACCCTTCACCTTATCGGGCGATAGACTCAGTCTAACGCCGTCTGTGCTAGAGGACACTAGCTGGGTGAGATCCCGAGGCTTTTCCACCAGCTTCGACGTTATTTTAAAGAGATAATTCACGGCGCTAAAGCGAGACGTGGCATCCGAGTGTAGCGGAACATTTCGGCAACTAATCTTCGTAAATATATTTAATGTTAAAGAAAAAATCTACTTACTTCTGAATAATCCACTAGAGTGTCAACAATGAAAGATGATGGTGACAACTGTAAATATGGTCATTCTTCGTAAGCTCTGTTACTGGATGCTGACGGGACTCCTAGCTGAGAAACGGACCCTCGGGTCGCAGGACTAAGGTCTGTGAGATCTTCGACCCCCTTTACAGTCCCCACGACCGAGAAGCGCGCGTTGCTTTTCTATTGGACCAACTACTACACGTGACCAGCACACAGTTCCGTCAAGTCCACGACATGATTTACTGTCTGTTTATTTGCTGATTTATCTGCTGGGGGAGCGAGACGGGCAATTTCCTACCGTCTCGCTAAAAACTTTACTCAATAGATACAGACTGGGGGACATGAATTCTAATGTCGTATATCCTTCCATGTGTAGAAACGGCGATGCTGGAGCGACACCGGGCTACGGGACTCAGGCATACGGAGGCAGTGGCGGAAGCTCTACCGGGTCGACGGGAGAACTCTCCGCTCAGGTGTATTACCAACAAGCGGATCCGCTGACAGCAGCAGCTAACCACTATGGCTTGGTCGGCGGATTCGGGACCCCGGATCCACGGACTCCACCGCTTCATGGTGAAGCCACTAATGGACACGTCCCGCCGCATCATCAAATCATCAGTGACAATAACGGACTAAGCTACACTAATCTCGATCAGCCGGGATATGCCGGACAGCAACGGGTGCCACATCCTCACCATCCCGGTTACGGTACAACCCCTGCAGATGCCCGGCACCACCACGGGTTTGGCTATCGTCAGTTGGAATATCCTCACGACGTGAATGCGTTACACCATCCAGCTGACCATCAGGGACCTGTTTTGAGCGCTGATGGTGGAAGACTCGTTACAAGTGCCCTACCTCCACCCTCTAACACTACTTATCCGTATTTAGATTCATTGACACTGACTAGGAGAAACGGATACGGCTATGCGGACGGCTACGATGCGGCTATGCGAGAAGGATGCCAGGCAAACGGCGGCTACAGGACGTCTGCAGCCATGGCTAGGGCCAGGCTATCTGCGCCTCAGCCGACACCGGTACCTACCTACAAGTGGATGCAGGTGAAAAGGAGTGTGCCCAAAACAGGTGAGAGATTAATAACTCTTCTATTCAAACTATTCTTATCTTACTTTAAAAAATTTCCTGTCGTGGGGATGTCTGGTCAACGGAATATCTTTATTGATTAATTATTTATAGACCACGTTTTGTTAGGCCTAATTTATGGGTGAGAATACCGAACCAAACAAAGTTTTCACAAAGCAAAATAACTACTTTTAGCATGTAGGCTTTCTTAATGTTAAATGCCATTTAATAGTATAAAACTAAAGATTGAAGCCATAATAAATCTTAAAAAATAAATCCACAATTCGGTAGAATGTCATAAAAGTCTCATAATCTTCGGAAAGACTAGTCAAAATAAGCTTTACCCACGTGCGAAGATACCTCTAGTTGACAAATGGTTTCTAAGCTCCGTAATTGTGAGGTAACCAGCGGGTGGGTCTATATCCCGTAATTACCCATTTCCACAAATAAGCCATCAGAACATCATTTATTAGGGTTAGTGGTAGTTCCTCCTTTGTCCAGGTGATAACGGGGGGTGTAGTGAGAAGACAGAGCAGGGTCATTTGTCTCTGTAAGTGGTTAGGACACAGACGGGAAATGGCCGTCTAGTTTCTAACCTGGAAACTAGGAACCCCCTCGCCCCCAATATGAAGCTCTCGACTCACAGCGTGAGGTTGTGAACTTATTGTGAACTTAGTGTCCTATGTTCTCCTGCTGTGATGGATATTCTTCGTTACACTTGTGCCAGCTGCAGTGACAGGTTGAGGAATATGAAGCCTCTGGATCGGGTGAAGAATTCATTCAGTTGGAAACTGTCGTTAATAACCTTTTTACTATAAATTCCACTGTCAATATATTCTATTTGGTTTGTCTAGTGAAGCGTTGATTGTCCTAAAGTTCACAGAAATATAATATTGCCAGTTATAACATGACGTAAAATTAATTATAAAATAAATATCTATCACATAATAATATGCAAATAACTTTTTTAAAAAGTTTATTTAATCAATAATAAATTTTGAAAAACAAAAGTAATTTTATTATCATCAAAAATTCTCGAAAAATCATTCTATGAATGTTTTATTATCTATTTATTTGAATATTAATTTTCTGTTTTTCAAACCAAATACATTAATGTTTGATTAAGCGTCTTTTAACTTAAAAATCAATTATTTTTATTGTAATTTTTTTTATTTTTCAAGTTTTGCAAACAATTTTATTAAAAATTAACTTTAAACATTAAAATTCATGTAATGCTTCAATACTTCAGTCAACAACAGTACCGTACAATAAATCATGAAATATTAATTCTTATTTGAAGATATACTTTGTATTCTCCCATGTAAATTTCTCATAAACAAAGTTAACTAAGCATGTAATTTATTGTTTATAGCATATAATTTTTACAATTTATTTTAATAATTTAATTTAAAAACTTAAATTTTTATAATACAGAATTATTTATAGATTAATTACTTTACTGGTATATATTCAAAGATATTTGCCTCTTTCTAACCTGCATATATATTCAATAAGAAGCTATTATAGTTGATTTTTCTGATAAATATTTTTTTCGGTATAAAATTGTTCCATTTGTTTGTCTTCCCTTGCGAAAAAATAAAATACTAACATTTTAAAGAAGGCCTAGAAACATTTTTGTGTCTTGTCAATTGTTGTACTTTATCGACATCAACCAGAAACCTGTTACAAATTGTTTTGAAATTGAAAATAATTTTAACCGTACTACACTTTTATGTAATGAATAATGTATTTTTTATTATAAATTTTTGATTATTCTATATCAAAATAACGTAAACACATTATGAATAGTTGTTAAGTTACTCTCATATGTGTGTCTCTATCATACGTAGAGCTTAGCAGAGAAACTTTTTAAGATCAGTTAGATTAATAGTTTACTCTAATTTTCCAACTTCTCTTCAAGTGTTTTTTCTTTTTATATTCAAGGCCTAAGCTTGTTCTGATTATTGAAGATGGATTCAGGGTCGATATTGTCAATAGGGATAAAACAACTTATCAATTCAACTAACTTGTAAGATATTTTTAAGCTTTTTATACAAAAATGAAATAAAGTATAGTAGGCGTAATAGGACCATAATAAACTTCTAAAAAAGTTTAATTATTGGATCTCGATAATCATTTTTCTCTTTATAGATACTAAATTACTCGATGGTTTTGTAAAAACTTTTTGCAAGAACCATGATTTTCCTAGAATCATGAAAGTAAAGTATCAATCTTACAAGGGTTTATTTAATTTTTGTAGGCGTGAAAATTTGATTAATTGGTATAGTCTTATCTCTAAAACACTTTTCAGTGATTAATTACGTTTAGATGTCAGATAGTCATTTACAAGGCATGTTATGAATGGCAATTTGATTCGTGGTTCTAAAGAACTGAAGACTTGTTGCTTATAGAATGATGTCAACACTATAATTCTTCAATAAAAATCTCATACTTATAACAAATTGTTTTAATTTAACCTTTGTATTATGAGATTCTTCTGTGATCATTGCAATGAATGATTAGTGTTTTAAAATAGATTTGCTTCTAACGAGTCTAATGAAATATATTTATATTAATGTATCACTTTCTTCCCTCATTAGAAGTAAGTATATTACAGTACTGTATAGGTTTACATGTGATTATTTAATTATAATTTATCATTACATTTCTGTTTAGGGCATAAGAACATTCCACGTATAATAAATTAATATAATATAGGCAAAGTAATTTATAGAAAGTTAATTCTGCTTTTCCATTTACTATTAATTTTTTAATTAAGTCGAAAGTTATCATAAATTTTAATGAAATTTAAATAATTAATAGTGTTATAAACCAGTGGTAGTTCCTCCTTTGTCCAGGTGATAACGGGGGGNGAAATTTAAATAATTAATAGTGTTATAAACCTAACTGAAAATGGATTTATATAAATTCTGAATTTTAATATTTAGAATTAAAGTTTTATTAGGGTATTATTATGCATTATATTAAAATAAGAATCAAGAATAAGAGTTGTTCTAGTCATAACCTTCAACATTACATAAAAATATATTCTTGTATAATTTTAAATTATTACTTAAATCTTTTTTCTTTGTAGAATGATTTGAGTTTGCATTTTCATTACATTTCGTATTAATATTTTAATAAAATCACGAACCAACATCCGAAATGTGTAAAATTTTTTCTATATTAAAGATATTATCTTTAAAATCTTTTTCTTTAAGATATTTATTTATAATAGTAAAATACCTGGTAAAAATCTTACGTAAATTTGCTTTTAATTTAATATTCTTGTTATATTTTCAGTTCGTTCATTCAAAACATAATAATCTGATTACATAAATTACTAAAAGTATAGACTAAAAAGTTTAAACTAAATAAAAACAAAACATGAAACTTATAATAAATTTCTTCAGGCCTCTAACTTTAAATAGGAGGCATTATTATCTATTTTAACTTAGAATTAAAATTATTCTGTATATTTCCTTCCATTTGACATATATTCCACTATTACCCAAGCATAAGAGCATGACATTGCAAAACTTAATTAAAAATAATTAAAAGAAAAACTTATGTTGAAAGTCAAGTTTTGATCTCTATACGAAGACTTTTAATTACTTTTTACTCTGGTCGATTTTAGCATTGAAAAATATTTTTTTAAATTCTATAAAATATAGATTATATTAAAATTTAACACAAGATTTTTAATAAGTATTTTTTAAAAAGAAATAAAATAAAATGAATTCTTACTATTTAAATAATTAAAAAAACATAGTTAATTTTTATATTCTGGAACAACATAAATATGATATATTAATGATTATAAACCATACGAATATTTAAATAATACGAATATAAAACTTAAGAGTAGTTATCATCAATATGCATTTGTTTCTTAATCTGTTGACATTGGCAATAACTCACTATTAACAGTTATATTGAATTAGTGCCAATAATCTTTAAATAGAGACTTCCACGACTTGAATGCAATTTTATACATTCTTCTTTTAGTATAAATATTTTTAAAGTCATAAAAATTTATCTTATATTAAAAGAGATTTTTTTAAAATCAATAATTTAGACATTCAATTCCGATGAATGTATGAATACTAATATGTAATTTGACTCGTGTTTTAATACCGAATTACAATTTAGTACCGAATTATAATTGTTAGAACCAAGTTAGTATTTATGATGAAAATCAACTTGCAAATTTTCAAGATACCGGACTCTTGAGAACAACCTTGAACTAAAGTCAAGGACTGCACGCTTACAGCATTCGATGTTAAGGTATCGAGCAATCAGACAAAACTCACGCCAGTTAACCGAGACAAAGCTACGAGAATAAACTGGAATTTTATGTTTATTAATTTACATAAAACATATCTCATGACGGAATTTTTCTATCAGCATCTTTTTTTACTTTAATTGATTTATTTATATAAAGATTACACGCTAAAGTAGATTATATAATTAAAGATTAGAAACAGATTATCTGTAGATATACTGTATATTAAATAATATAGCTTATTATTTTTTATAACCTTAAATATATAAAAAAGGGAGATAATATCATATATGAAAAGCATTATATATATATATATATATATGAAGTTAACATTGAAAAATAGCCAAGTTTTGTAACATTATAGTCTTTACTGTAAATGATGTCTTGCCAAGTTAGAAGACAAATAATCGGAAAACAATTTGATACCAAGACAAGACGTTGATAAAAGAACATTAATATATTGTTTAAAAAAATCTCATTAATCATAATTAAACAAATAATAGGCTTTAACAATTCTCACATTTATAATTCCAAATTATCTTTAACGTTTATTAAATGTTTATAAATAACATCACTAAATGTTTGTAATTGAGAAAAATTTATATAATTTTACTGTAGATTTATCATTGCTTCTTAATGTTGCAAGTACAATTTAAAAAAAAAATACAAGCCTACATTAACTATATCTTCTGAAGATGTAGTAGTAACAGTGATAGTT